CACCCCGCCGCAGGCCGGGAGCCGTGCAGCGCCGGGCCGCCCAGCGCGCCCCAACCCCGGCCGCCCGAGTCCTGCCAGCGGCTCTCAGGCCCGGAGCGATCAGCGGCCTGCGCAGCCCGCGGGGCCTAGACCGAACAGCGCCCGTATCCAGGCTGCTCACCGCCAGCTCCTGCTTCCGCTTCACCAGCTCCGCCAGCTCCCGCCGGGTGTCTGGGATCTGCGGCGGCGCCGTCTTGTTGTGCATCGCCATGTTGGGCTCAGGCGGCGGCGGCGCGCGACCTGGGGGCGGGTCCTGCGCGCCGTCGCCGCCGCCTGCCACCAGGGGGCGCCCGCCACTGCGCCTGCGCACGCGGCTTCCGGGAAGGTGGGCGGACTGGGCGAGCGAAAGGCGGCGGTGGCACCTTGCTGCTCTGAGTGGGAGCGTCCTTACAGCCCCTCGGTGGGCTTCTGGGCTTTGCGGACCCGTGTCCAAAGCGAGCTGCATGAGCCTCCTAAGTAGCGTGTGCCCCAGCCTCAGACAGTTCCCTTCCCTGACCACCCAATCGCCAGTCCGGAACCTGGGCATCCTGCGGCCTCACCATCCGGGTTTGAGAGCCTATCCCTAACCCAGGCGTGTGAACCGCAGCCCGGAGAACCGCGCCTACCTAAGTAGCCTTATCTGTCCCTCGGCCTAGTTCCTTCAGCTCCATCCTATTCGGGGTCCTGGTATTTCAAAGGCCTCTTTATCTCCGCCCTTGACCATTTATTTAATCTGTTATCCACAGTCGTGCTAGGAAGGATGATCTTCCAAACCAAATGTCCTATTGAAACCCTTTTCAGAGTCAGCAAGATGGTTCAGCGGGTAAAGATGCTTGCTGCTGAGCCTGCCAACCTAGGTTCAATCCCCGGGACCCACATAGTAGAAGGAGGGAATTGTACCGAGCCACTCTCCCAACACCCCCAAACATACAAAAATAAGCATAAAATTTTTAAAAATATTTTATTTGTTATCCTTATTTTACATGTATGAGTGTTATGCCGTCATGGGTTCTTCAGTGTTCTTAACCACTGAGCCATCTCTCCAGCCCCATAAATTTTAATTTTATGTGTATGTGTGTATTGCCTGCATGTATGTAAGTGCACCTGTGTCGTGCAATGCCCGCGGAGGACAGAAGGTATCGGATCCCCTGAAGTGGAGTTACAGACACTTGTTAGCTGCCATGTGGGTGCTGGGATTCGGACCCGGGTCAAACAACCAGTGTTCTTAACCACTGAGACACTAAATAAAATATTTTTTAAAAAGAAAGAAATGTATTTAAGGGGATGGAGAGATGGCTCAGAGGTTAAGAGCACTTGCTGCTCTTGCAGAGGACCCAAGTTTGGTTCCCAGCGCCGACATACGGAACCTCACGACTCCCAATAATTCCAACTCCAGGGGATCCCATGCCCTCTTCTGACCTCTGCAGGCACCTTCACATACATGAGTGCGTGTGTGTGTGTGTGTGTGTGTGTGTGTGTGTGTGCGCGCGCGCGCACACACACACACGTACACCTAAAAAGATAATCTTTTAAAAAATAAAAATGTGCTGGGCATGGTGGCGCACACCTGTAGTCCCACCACTTGGGAGGCAGAGGCAGGTGGATCTCTGTGAGTTCAAGGCCAGCCTGGTCTACATAGTGAGTTCCAGGCCAGCTGAGACTACAGGGAGACCCTGTCTCAAAAAAATAAAATAAAAATGTATTTGAATCTTTAAGGAGAAAATATAGAAATAATTGAATTTTAAAAATTCCTTCCAGAGGGCTGGCGAGATGGCTGCAGCCATTAAAGGCTAAGGCTAAAATTTCCTTCTAGGGCCGGAGAGCTAACTTAGTCCCTAAAGGCTCAGACTCAACCAAATATCTTATAGCTAAGGGTGGTGGCACATACCTGTAATCCCAGCATTTAGGAGGCTGAGGGAAGAGGATCAAAAGTTTATAGACCAGGGGCTGGGGAGATGGCTCAGTGGATAAAGTACTTGCTACCTTACCATGGAAGCATGGCTTGAGTTTGGATCCATAGCACCCACATAAAACAGCTGACCAGCAGCATGTCCCTGTAATTCCAGCACAGAAGAGGTGGAGACAGGAAGATCCCTAGGACTTGCTGGCCACCTACTCTGGCCTAATTGGTGAGATCTTAGTTCAGTGAGAGACCCTGTCTCAAAAAGTAAGACAAGCGGGTGTGATCATGCACCTTCAATCCTAGCACTCTGGACACAGAGGCAGGAAGATCTCTGTGAGTTCAAGGCCAGCCTGGTTTACATAGTGACCCAGACAGCTGGGGCTACAGGGAGACCCTGTCTCAAAAAGACCAAAAAATAAATTAATTAAAAAATAGGGGCTGGCCAGGCATGGTGGTGCATACCTTTAATCCCAGCACTCTGGAGGCAGGCAGATCTCTCTGAGTTCGAGGCCAGCATGGTCTCCATTGTGAATCCAGGACAGCTGGGGCTACAGGGAAATTCTGTCTCGAAACCTCCCCTCCCAAAAAAAGGAGCCAGAGAGATGGCTTAGTGGTTAAGAGCACTGACTGCTCTTGCAGAGGATTTAATTCCCAGCACCCACATGGCGGCTACGAACTGTCCTTAACTCCAGTTCCAGGGGAATCCGAAGCCCTCTTCTGACCTCTAAGGCATTGCACGACACGGATGCACTCACATACATGCAGGCAATATACTCATACACATAAAATAAAAATAGGGGCTGGAGAGATGGCTCAGTGGGCTGACATCTTTCCCTTCCCTGCCCTTCCCTGACATCTTTCCCTTCCCTGCCCTTCACTGACATCTTTCCCTTCCCTGATATCACCGAGGGAAACGTGTCCCGTGCGAAATAAAGCTGTATCCCGCTGAGAATTCTATCTGTGCCTCGGTGCCTCATCCATCCACACTCGCTCTCCATCCCAATTTTTAACCTATCAATTACCATACACACACACACACACACACACACACACACACACAAACACAGAGTGCAGTTCTTTCAATCTGACCCCTGAAGACTCTCTCCAGGTCAGCCAGGATTGAACTCCCAGGCTGCAATGCCTGGGAAGCTTCAATTTCTGATACGCTTTTTTCTCTGCAAGGTGTTCTTCAGCTTGCCAAGTTTTTTGTTTTGTTTTTGAGAAATGGACTCGCCATTTTATGTGGGCCTTAGACTTCGATTTGTCCCATTTAATAGCTCAGCTGTCAAGAGCACTGACTGCTCTTCCAGAGGACCCGGGTTCAGTTCCAGTACCCAAATGGTGGCTAGCAACTGTTAACTCCAATTCCTGGGGATCTGACACCCTCTTCTGGCCTCCAGAGCCATTACATGCATGGGTGCACTCACATACAAGCACACAAAACACTAATACACATTAAATAAATTTTTTTTTCAAATTTTATTTATTATTTTTGTTTTATGTGTATGCATGTATTGCCTGCATGTAGGTAAGTGCACTCGTGTCGTGCAGTGCCCACGGAGGTCAGAAGAGGCTGTCAGATCCCCTGAGACTGGAGTTACTGACAGTTGATAGATGCCATGTGGGTGCTGGGATTTGCACCTGGGTCTTCTGCAAGAACAACCAGTGTTCTTAACTGCTGAGCCATCTCTCCAGCCCATAATCAAAATAAATAAAAAGGTTTCCAGATGTCTATATTCCATCTATTTCTGAATTCTTATCTTCACTTTCTTGTCTTGTTTTTGTCAAAATATCAAGTAAATTTTATTCAAAAGAAAAGCAGCCGGGCATGGTGGAGCCATTCCTTTAATCTCAGCACTTGGGAGACAGAGGCAGGCAGATCTCTGTGAGCTGGAGGCCAACCTGGTATACCTAGTGAGTTCCAGGCCAGCTGGGGCTACAGGGAGACCCTGTCTCAAAAAGACACACACACAAAAAAAGACCAAAAAATAAAAAAGTGAAGTGGGGGCTGGAGAGATGGTTGGGTGATTAAGTTCCCAGTACCTAAGTAGGGTGGCTCACAATCACTTGTAACTCCAGCTCCAGGGGATCCAACGCCCTCTTTCTGGGCTCAGAGGGTACCTGCATTCATATACACAAATAATTCTTAGAAAAGCAAAGTAATAGCAAAGCTAAATACAGTACAGGAGAGCAGCAGGCTAGTTTCACTTTTGACTGATGATTTATTAATATCTGTTCTTAAATGCATTAAATTTTTTTTTTTTTTTTTTTTTTTTTTTTTAAGACAGGATCTCCTTATAGCCCCAGCTGGCCTGGAACTCACTATGTAAACCAGGCTGGCCTTGAACTCACAGAGATCTGTCTTCCCAGGCTGACCTGGATCTTGCTAAGTAGATCCCTCTGCCTCTGCTTCTGGGTGCTGGGACTAAAGACCTTGAGCCACCATGCCCAACTGTCTCACCTTTTTCTTTTTCTCCAGTGCTGGGACCTGAACTCACACCAGGTAAGCACTCTACCGATAAGCTATATCCTCTCCATTAAATGAAGAAGAAAGAAGAGGAAGAGGAAGAGGAAGAGGAAGAGGAAGAGGAAGAAGAAGAAGAAGAAGAAGAAGAAGAAGAAGAAGAAGAAGAAGAAGAAGAAGAAGAAGAAGAAGAAGAAGAAGAAGAATGCATTTGTTGGGGAAAGTTTCACCATTTAGTTTTAGCAACTGTCTCTGGCCCTAAACTCACTATGTAGCTGAGGATGACCTTGAATTTCTGAGCCTCTTATCCCACAATGCTGGGATTTCAGACATGCAACACTAGGCAGTCTCTCACTCTACCAACTCAGCTATACCTCCAATCTACCCATTTTTAAATCTTTTTCCCATTTGATAAATACACCAGAAACTACCCAAGAAACCAAATGTTTATTATTTGTTTGTTTGTTTGAGACAGGGTCTCCCTGTTACCCCAACTGCCTTGGAACTGTGTAGACTAGGTTGGCCTTGAACTCAGAGATCTACCTGCCTCTGCCTCCCAGGTGCTGGGATTTAAAGGCATGCTCCACCATGCCAGGCTTTAAATCTAGAACTGTAATCAAGTAGCCTTTTCCATTGATAAAACTCACCTAGAAGATATTCTATAAGCAGGCACTGGTTGAATGTTGTATATGACATTTAGGCTCCAATTAGACTATTTTGTTCCTCAGATCCACAAATGTCCACAATGGAAAGATGTTAGAAAATGTAATTACGCACCATTGTCAAAGGAGACTCAATCTGAAATATTTAAGTGCTAAGCTTTGGGTTTTGAGAACTGAGTGGGTGTTAGGGATTGAACGCAGGGATTCATACATGCTAGGCAAACACTTGCCACTGAGTTATATCCCTAGCCCAAGTTCCAAA